ATTCTCATTTTAGTGCTTAGGGTTGTTGCCTTAATTTTTATTCTTTAATTTCAATCTTAGTTTATATTTATTTAATTTTTGTTTTTATTTTTTATAATTATTTTTTAGAATAGTTATATTGTTCATAGAAATTAAACTTTTTAGTGCTACGTAGATCCCCTGACTTTGAAAAAATCAGCTAACATCTTGATGACAGAGGAAAGTAATTTCTCATTCCTTTTCCTCGCTTCCTTGGCTTCACTACTTTCCTTTATAATTTGCATGGGGATGAAGGCAGGAACATTCTCGAATAAGCATGTAATTAATTAAAAATTAAATATAAATTAATTATTTTATTTATTTATTATTATTATTTTCTCCTTTGTTCACTAAGTTCATGAGTATTTATGTTTTATTTGTACGATTTTTCTTCATCAAGTTATGAATTTATAAACTTATAGGTATTTTATAGATTTAAATAATTTAGAAAAAACCAAATTTCCCGCTTAACCCATGCTGTCCCTCGTCATCCTCGTACACGTTGAAGGTCTGCATGGCATTCCATGAATGGCGTTCCGTGGTTGGTCGTGCTTTGCACTTGGGCAATGAGGTGGCCCGTGATTTGATGCTCCGGTCCACGTGTTTCGCTTTCTCAGCTCGATCTCCACCGCCCATTTCGAATACATGGAAAGGGATGACATCCGCTCATCATCCCCACAAGATGGAAAACCAAGAACCGTTGGCACTCAAAACCTAGGATCTCACCCTACACTTAACCAAATTACATGATGGTCTTATAGCTTCATCTGGATGAGGCAAACCTATCTATACGGTTAAGTGGTCATGCATTATAGTTTTGCTTCACAAAATATGAAACTGAGACTAAAAATGATGAATTCCATTCATTACCTTATTCTGTGGGGTGAGGCCTCGATTGGTTCTGATAGAGACGATCACCTTGATGCCACGAAACTCACCTTATTTAAATTTGCTCTAAGGTTTGACCCAAGGATGTGCTACACCAAAAGATAGCTCAAGTTGGTTTTGAGGTGGGTTAGGGGTGCAGGAAGAGTGAATTTTGATTGGGGGAAATTTTAAGACCTTGTGACTCTTATGGGAGGGTTGAAATGGAGTTTTAGCAAGGTTGATGTCAAGCATGTAAAAATTCTTAGATTTTATAGGAGAAAGTAGGGTTGTGTGGTGGTAGAGATGGCTTGGAATTGGTGGAAGGTGGTTGCTTGTGTATGTGGGAGCAACATTTGTATTGTAGGCAGAGAGTTTAAGTGAGAAATTGGTGAGCTTCTCTCGGGTTATCTCAGCTTATAGCTATGTGAGGCTATGGTGGCAGCTTTGGCCTACATGGGAGACTCTGGTGGCTCCTCAGAGAATAAGCAAAAGGATTTCAAAGGCTTTTGGGTAGTGGAGAATGCTTTCTTCATTTTTTTTAATTTTTTTACTATGGAAGCTCCAATAGGGAAGAAGACAACCTTTCCAAGGCATGAGGGGATTGGGAGAGCTTCTGGTGTAGTGATTAAGACTAGAATTGGTCAGGTTTGACTCACCATTGATCTGAGTTTGGCTTTCCATGGTTTGAACATGGGTGAGTTGGACTTAGGTGCTAAGTGTTAATCATCTTGGTTAAATGTGCATGGTTTGTCTTTTGCTGATTGTCTTTATGTCTAATTTTATTTTAAATATTTCATGTTTAGGTTGAAATTTCATGGTAGGCTATTTTGGTCAAGTGTGTGTCATTTGTGTCAAGTTTGACCCATGGGAAATTAGCCATGAGAAATAAGTCATGGGCTCTCCCTTGATGTATTTTGGCTATGGTCAAGGTTGGGCTTTTGTAGTTAAGCTTAGCATTAGATGATTGAGGTTGGCCCAAAAGGATTAATCTTAGCTAGCTTTCATGATTTAATTTTGATGTTTAAGTGTCTTTTGTCTTAATATTTTGAATTGATTTTGATTTTATTTTTTTAGGAGTATTTTTTCACTAATTAGCATAGTAAATATTTGTAACTCCATATTTTATGGTTTAGGTTGATCTTTCTAGAGTTTATGTTGATTCTAGGATTGATTGGTGTTGGGAAAACTTTAGGTGAGACCAAAGTTTGACATTACTGCCACACTCCTCCCCCTTGGGTTTGAATTTTAATGTTATAGGGTTTCTAGGGCTTTTAGGGTAATCTGGTAAAAATACCTTATTGGCATAGGCCTAGACTCCTGTTCGATGGGCTTCTCCTAGGTCAATGAGAATCCCAGAGGTAGTAGTTTCTAGGGCTTTGAGCTCCATGGGTAACCTAGGGCATCCTCAAACTATGGGAAGTCACCTTGGTTTTCCACTAGGCTACACCTTCAACCATCTCAACTAAGGGTTGAAGATTTTGGCCTTACCTCAAAAAACCCGAAGTGGGTGAAGGATTGGTTCAAAGTTCTATATTAATGAGTTACACCTCTAGTCATCTATGAAGGTCACCAGGAAACCCTAAAACTAATTCCTAAGTTTCTATAGAGATAGAAGAGGTCCTCACAAAAGTGAGGTCAACATATGTCTCTTAAGTTATTTTTCTGTATTGGGGATGGTGTTTACTCGTTGGTTGGCTCGTCGTAGTATTTCTCACCACTATTTATGTTAGTGGTACTCTCTTTAAACCTATGATAACACATTTCAGTTTTATGGCAATAATTAACTCTCTAGAATATTTCCGTATCAGATTTTACAGAACTCATTAATTACTATTATCTATACTCTAAAAGAATTCCTTAAAATTTATCATTATAATCCTGATAGGATGACCCAAGATCATATGCTCATTTTTAGACAACTAAAGTTTAACAAGATAAGAGACAAATTAAGTTTAATTCCCAATGCAGGTAACAATAAGGATAGTTGTTTCTTAAGATTATGACTAAAGTAATTTAAAAAAATAATAATTTGAATTTCAAAAAATATGTAGTTTATATCAGGCTTTTTGTTTTTACCAATTAGATTTGTAAAAAACAATGATTTGAGTGTTATGTATGTGCAATTGCCTCTTTCTATTATTATCATTAATTGAAGGAATATTACATTAGAAACTTATTTTATGGATAATCTAAGAGGCTAGAAATGTAAAAAATTAAAACTCTTTTCTAATAAATATAAATATTACAATTTCCTAGTTCATTACAAAGCCCAAACGCGTATTGAATATCCAAATTTAATGGTTAAATTTTTATGTTTTGCATATATTGCTAGTGTGTAAGCGATTAGATAATGAACTTTAGTATTGTTAGTCATAGCAGGTGTTGGGATTGTTGTCATAATAGACTTAGGCCCTGTTTGGCACAGCTTATACATGTGCGGTGGCGTTTTCAGAACGCCGCCCACGAGTTTGTTTCGCGCGTTCGTTCGGCGGCGTTCTGAATGCAGCGTCCCGCGGATCCCTTTTTCTTCATTAGCCGGATCGCGGGGCCTCGGCTGCGTTCGGCGTTGGCTGGTGGCATTATCTACTATTGTTTGTCGTTGGTTTTTTTAGGATACACTCTGGATCTGTCGAGATATGCTCTGGATTCGTCAGTTTTTTGGATCGATGAATTTTTTTCGGTTCTTCTCCATATCTCTGCTTCTATTGCTTTGGATCTCTGAGTTTTGCAAAATGTCATGGTTCTATCGAGTGATTGTTTGGTAGTTAACACCATCTTTTTCACCTTTTGTTTAAGGCTTTTTCTTGATTTGGCATCTGTCTCACAGAACTCCCATTTACTAATAAGACAGGGGCAGGAATGTCATTTAACTACTAATAAACTAGTCTGAATAAGCTGCCTCAAACAGTAAGCCAGATTATTCTGGTAATCTGCAGATTATCAGATTATCAAAATAATCTGTTTATCAGTAGATTATAAATAATCAACAACTGCGCCAAACAGACCCTTAATCATTAGACTTTTTTATATGAGCTAAAACTATCATCACGGAATACTACTTCGGCTCTAATTTCAAGGGTACTGACTAAATTGACACTGTTATAAACTCTGAGACTAAAATGACAATTTAAATAGTTAGGGGACTCTTTTGACGCTTTATTCCTCACAAATATAACAATATATTATGCTAGCGCCTAAGGGTGATTTACTCTTTTATTATTTATTATTCTTTAGTATAAATAGAGTTAATATGTTTAAAGTTAGAGTTATACATAAGTAGGTGATATTGATTTTTAGGTTTAGAGTTTGGGAGAAAACGCCTGCCACTCAAATTGCAGATGTTAGGGTTAGGATTTGGAAAAGATTACCAACTCTCAAATTGTAGGTGCTTGTTTCTATGAATTCTAGTTGTGCTGTTTTAGTTATTGAAGAAATACAATTTGTTTTGCCATAATTTCTCTGGATTTTTGTATCAAATTGATATTAAAGCTCTCAATTTTAGGTAAAGCAAGAAAAGATTGTGGCATGAACCAAGTATAGTGGCATGCTGGCTCCGAAAGACCAAGAGAAACGAGTACATATAGCCGCGATAGAAGCTAGTTGGGTCAGCGATCTAGATCACTGCATACAAGGATCGCGATGTACAGGGCCAGTGATTGGAAAGGATCGTTGTGTATAGGGAAGCGAACCACAAGACAATGAATTATATTGACATAATTGATTCGTGATATAGTTGCTAGCTCAAGGAAAACTTTTTCACCTGACTATTTGCATGTGAAATTATAATCTTATTGCAATGTAACTTTCAACGCATTATCTTATATATTGTGTTATGCCGAATTCAAAAGTTTGCAATTGGAAAGGAGACTCAATAATAATAGTGCCAAGTGTTCCACAGTAATTTTGAAGAACAGAGAATGTTATGCCCCTATTGCGACTGAGAAATTCAAAATGAACAATGTTAGATTGGTAGAGAAAGTAAGTCCAAATTTATGAACAAGTTGATTTTTTCATACTTTAGCAGCAGATTCTTTCCACAATGAATGCTAAGCCGGTAACCCCATCATTTGTATCTATAAAAGAGCTCGGCAACCACTTGTAAGGAATATTGATCCATGGCTTCCATTGTGAGGGCTTTCCGCTCCTTCTTCCTCATGGCAATGGTGGTCATCGCATTCAGCCTTCTTGCAACATCTGGGGCGGCCGACAACCACCTTTTATCTGGCGATAAACTTAAAACCGGTGAAAATATTTCGGACATAAATTACAGCTTGAGAATGCAACGAGACTGCAACCTCGTTCTCTACCAAATAAACCCGGAGAAAGATATTTGGAATACCCAAACCAACGACAAAGGTATTGGATGTGAGCTCACGTTGCAGACTGATGGCAATCTCGTCATCGAAGACGAGAGCCAAAAGCTTGTATGGGAAAGCAAAACTAATGGAACATCTGGAAATTATGTTCTTCTCCTCCAACGAGACCGCAACGTGGTGATCTACAGCAATCCGTTATGGAGCTCTGACAGTAAACTTTGAATTACATAAGCAGGTCTCTTGTCAACTACCAAGAAAGACAATATTTTTACGTCTGTTTTCTATCCATGCACTTGTGTTGCTGAGCAACATCTCATGAATAAATGTCTATCAAAAATACTTCTGTACCGATAATAAATGTCACGAGTATGAACTTTTGTTTTTCTTAATGTGTGTTCAGCATTTTATGTTATGTTGATTTATCGGATATAATGATTGGAGTTCGTGTCTGCTAAATTTTTGGGATGAAAATTTGTTCAAGACCGTGAAAATGATATCACAATATTAAATTACAATATTTGCGGTATTACTTATTTATTTGCATAATTTTAATTTATTTAAAATTCCTGAAAATTAAATAATTTTAATTGTTCTGATCTACTACTTCTGTATATACTACGTTAGGGTTCAATCCTATGGAATTTACTAGTAATATATATTTTTATTACATCAATATCTTAGTCAGTTTAAGCTCTTTAATCTGAAAAAAGTTTAGCTGATCATATCTATAATTTGCTGAAACCGAACCAGGCTAACTCACTAAAAAAACTGGTTAATTCTGTCTTTTATAATTAGCTTTGGTTAAGAAATATATATTAAGGAAAAATAAGTCAATCCATTTCTCTCTTGGGATGGATCTATATGTGTGGATTGAATATGATATCAACGAGGGAGGGTTAACTGAGTTTTCTTCGAAAAAAATATTTCTCTGTATCTTGAAAAATATGATTCCAATGAAGTATGCAGACACAATAAATTTGGCATGATTGTAGTGTTGGTGATGGTGGTGGTGTTGCATGCCAAGGATAACCTATAGGAGGTTAATATGGGTTAAGAAGTGGAGCATTTCTATTAAAAGTTCCACCAAAGACGAGTGCCATAAGAACGTGGATACTTTTCTTCCCAAAAAACTTATATTTGTGTAGGAAAACTATGTAATATTAATTTTTTTTTTAGTTCTCTGTGTTTTCTTATAGTGAAAAAAAGGATGATTTATACAAATCCAATCTTAAAGAGGCCTTATTTTGGTTGGTCGCAACTTATGTGGTTTAAGAAGCACCCATTATTATTATTATTATTATTTTGTATGGCTTCTAATAAGGTCTCAAAGCCTTATAAATATTAGATCATTGAAGAATTAGATATACGTGAACTTAGTGCCCTTTATAGTTTGAGCATTTGAGAACTAGTTTTGCCAATGAAGAATCTTTTTCCTTTTTATTTTAACTTCATATAAATTGGAAAAACCTCACATAGTCAACCAAAAATTATTAAGAGGCTTAATTTGCTTAAGATTTTAGTTTTTGTCTAACACCTTAGGGAAGAAAGGAATAAAAATTAGATTAAGTATTCATTTTTCTGTCAGCTTTAAAATTTCAATTTAAATCATGGGTTTATTTTAAGCTAAAAATGGAAGCTTAAAGTTCCATTGTCTGTGTATCTCAGGTATGTAGTTATGAACTAGAGATCAAACGAACACCAAATATTTGGAGCTGTTAATTTTAATTTGTATTACTTGTATGACATGTATAATACTAAAAATTTCATAGATGAGCTTGTCAGCTACTACATTATATAGTACAATTTTTATTTGCTTTTGATAATGATAATAGTTGTTATTAAAGCATATGATAGTGTTTGCTTGATAGAATACATTTTCCTACTTATAAGCTTGGTAGTCATCATAATTTTGAAATAATGCCTTTTATTACCATCATGTATAGCATGGATTTTCTTAGCCCTATTCTTTCTCTTGTCAAGGAGATGGTGGGAGAGGGGCACAATTATTTTGTCCACTATTTAACACATCTTCCTTTTTCTTTGAGCTATGATTTGATTATACATATGTCATTATAATTTTAATTGCTTAATCCATTAAATGAGGTGGTGTAAGCCGTCATCTATTCCAAAAACAAATAGATAATAACTTAGAAATGTGTTTACTCATGAGATCCTCTCAAGCATGCCAATGCAAGGTACTAAATCAAGATTTTTGAAATACAAAAAAGTAGATTATATTTTTTAAAAGAAAGCTCTAGCAAAAAGACATAGAAATCCATTGGAAATGTTTCCTTCTCATCAATATGATAGAAATTGGTCACCCAAAAGATGGTTGTATGGAAATGCATTCTGATCAATAGGATGTCCATAAAAAACTAATTTCTAAAATATTTCTTGCTAAAATTTATTTATCCTGCATGAGTCCAATATATCATCCGATAAGCAGTAACTAGAATCAAGAATTCGTTGTTATCTTAATAGTAGTACACTTCAAATTAAAGTACCTGTCACTCTAAAATGCAGGTTTGTCATATATGTAATGAACATGCAGAAATGATAAATTGCACTGGAACATAGCTACCGCCAGCGGGCAAAATAATTACTCTACATGTGGTGGTGATGTTTGGGTGAAGTCAAGCAGGTTCCATGGGTCAATCGGGTACTTAAAACATCAACTGTCTAGGGAGAGGCTATGCGTGACTGGCAACGTCTATTGCTGATCATGTCAAAATATGTCCGGAGGCGGAATCGATCGGAACTCGTCAAGGATAGTGGCGGGTTCAGGACAAGGGATGGAGCTTCAGCAAGTAGGAAGTGTAACAAACAAGCTGCTTTCGAGTAGCGGTCCTCAGCTCTTTCCATGTTTTTCATCATCTCATCAACCTGCATTGATCAGAAATGTTCCTTGTTAGAAGAGAACAGCTACAATCTGAGGAGCGTAATTTAATGACAATTAGATGCCTAGATAAAAAAAAAAGTTCAATTTACAGACATCTCACACAACTCTTATGTATTTACACATCTAACACCCCGTATTTGATATTAATGCTTATGACGTCTTGGTGTCAAAAATCTATTGAATCAAAAGGTCTATTTCACTTTATAAAGATTGTGATGATGGTATTTTTTATGTGATGTTAAGGATTTGAATAGTATGCATGTAAATGCATAAGAATTGTGTGGTATATATGCAAATGCCACTAAAAATAAAACAGGTATCATTGAAAATGACTTGATTCCTCCTTTTGACTGCAGGAGAATATAAAAGAGGAAGAATTAAGGAGAACAGGGATAGAAGCATAGGGTATTGAATAGAGAGTGTGTGAGAGAAATTGCTTCAGGATGTGTTTTTCAAGGTCACAAATAGAAAATGTATGTGTGCGCGTGTGCAAGTGAGAGAGAGAGAGAGGAGGTGACCTAACCTTAGAAGTGTAGGTTCAAGACTTCCAGTTATTGTTGTAGATGGATAAGCTGTGGGAGATATTTAGGGGGGCAGAGTATTTTTATGTAGGGTTAAGCCAAGAAAAGAGGGCCGAGCAATAGCTTAGCTCAATCCAACCCATGTAATACGCCTCAAAGGAGCCCTAATAGTTTGATTATCGATAGTGATATGGTAGGCCTAGTAATTCGCCCGTGTAGCAATAGTAGCACCGCCCCACGTTTAGAAAATAATGTAGCCCTTTGTTTTTCCACCATAAAGACAATGCAAAGTATCCATTATGTTTGGGAGTCAAACTGTAGTACATTCCTAATGTTTAAGACAAATGACAAATTAATCAACTATTGCTAATCAATATGAGCACAAATAGCCCTAGAAACTAAGTCTACAAAACTATTAAGACACTCAATGCCCTGAAAGGTTCTTTGCCTTGAGAGTTAGAAGTTGTCAATATAATTTATTGGCATGATGGCTTGAGCAATAATTGGGTTCAAGCATTACCTTTATCTCCACTCAAGTGAGATTGTTTTTTCATAATCACTTCTCTTTTGCTAAGATGTTGACCGAATACATTTGGGTAGGACCAATATATTTCATCTTAGAAAATCATAGGAGCGTATCTCAATTTTAGTTCTCCTAAAAATATCCTTAAAGATGGTATCCCGACTATTTACCTATTTATTCTTAAGTGTTAATCTTTTCCGGGGTTTGGGTAAGACAAGTCAGCATTTGACTCAAAAAGATGTAGGAGGTAGGGTGGAATCGGGGTTTGGGTAAGACAAGTCAGCATTTGACTCAATAGATGTAGGAGGTAGGGTGGAATTTATAGCAATTAGGTTATGCATTTGTATCAGCAAAAAATGGATTTCTGACGCTTTAGCTCATCTATCTGATCATAACTCTTATTTATTTAAATTCTAGTTTCATGAATAACACTTAGTTCATCATATCACTCTCATGTAACTTATTATACTTTCGACTTAAGGAACAAAGGCTGATTTGGGTAACATGATATTCAAGAATAAAATTTAGAAGATAAAAAAAAAGCCCCCATTTCAGAGGGGTTGGCAAACTAAATGTTGGAATACATGCTATACTTATGCAAAAAAATATATCATTCATGTATAAAACACATTTCAGCCATTAGCACTGAAATATCGGTAAGTAAATAACACAATTTTCTTCAAAAAAAGTTTCCTACAATAAGTCAATAGTCGGAAGAAATAAAAAATTGCCCTTTATATACAGGCTAGCAGTAAAGGCCAAGTGCTAATTTGAATGTGGAATAGTCTGTTATGAATGATCACTAATTATAGGGATTAATAGGGCCGGTTCTTACAAGGGAAATGCTAAGCATTGTAATTCAAAGCAACTGGTTATATTAACACATTAGTATAGGCTTTTCGCACCAAATATATAATAATCCTTGATATTTACCTACTTCATATTTACCTACTTCCTATTAAATCTCAAATTAAGAAAGTTAACCAAATAAAAAATTAGAGATTACCCTTTAGAGGATAATAGATCCAACAATTACCATTACCCAAAACGGAAGCTCAAAGAAACCTTCTGCTAAAGTAGCAGTTCAAGCTTTGGCTAAGGTACCAAAGTTGACCTAGCCTTGGAGTGTGAAAGGATGGCTTCTAGATTGGTGACACGGGCAACCAAGGATGTATGGGAGACCTCTAGGTGAGTGGTAGAATTTGATGTAAAAGATTAAAGTCAAGGAAAAAAAGTTAAATAGGACAAAATCATCCCATATGACCAAACCTTAGTGGAAGCCACACTAAGGATAGGTTAAAGTGCCTAGTTTGGCCTGATTTCTTCAAATGTCACTAAAAAATACATCTGATGGAACTTATATATATATGATGGCGTCTTCCTTCCCGCTCGGCTTTGCTAGGGTTTCGCCCGATGGATACCCCTAGAAACAATTACGGCTTCGCTCGTCTTTGCGCTCGATTCCTTCCGTCTTCTCCGGCTCTGAGACATTACGGCTTTGCTCTCGCGCTCGATTCCGTTTGTCTTCCCCGCTTCTTCTCCTGGTTTGAAACGCGTCTCGCGCTCTGCGGCCCGTCTCGCGCTCGAATTTCTGCGGCTCAATTTCGCGGAAACTGCTCGCGATCGCAATTTTTGTGTTCTCTGCGCTCGTCCCGTCTCACCCCGACGTCCCTTAGCTTCGGCTATTTCGACGCGATTTTTTCCCAGTCTATTTTCTTCTCTAAACGTTGCAACTATCTATGAAGATGGTTTCGGACGAATCATATGTAGCTGCTCTTGCCAGTGTCCATGCCTCAGGCACACTAAAATCATCATTTTTCCCTTCTTCGTTTGAGTGAGCGGAGGACATCAAGAAACCTGCTAGGGAGAATGGGAAGTCGAATATTTTTTTTTACAGAAGCTGAAGGTATTCAACTTGTTTCTTTCTGAATTTGGTTGGGAAATTTCTATATAGTCATCCCAAAATGAAGCTCATTCGCAAAAAATTTGAACTTATGCACCTTGTTGGAGAATAGAAAATCGGGCTATTAGATGGGAGACATTCTTTTTCAAATTAGCAATGAAAAATATTACATGCGCTTATGTGCTAGAAAGATAATATGGATTGATAACAGAACAATGAAGATTCTGAAATGGTCTGCGAATTTTGACCCATAGACGGAACCACCAATCATTTCGATTTGGATTCTCCTCGGTTTGAAATTTTATTATTTTTCTTAAAAAGTATTGTACTCTATTGCCTTAACTTATGAAAAGCCACTCAAGAAGGACATTCCTACTTTTAATCTTTCCCGTCCATTTGAAGCCAGAATACTTGTTGAAAGAGACATCACTACACCCGCTTCTGATGAAATCTGGTTGGGCACACAATATCAAGGATATTGGCAGAAAGTAGAGATTGAGCATTTTCTGCCGTATTGTTCGAACTGCGGTATGTTCGGACACTCCAGTTCTCAATGTAATCATCTACACCCCCACCTCAGACCAAAAAAGCAAACTGCTCCGCTAGAGGTTGTTATTTCATCTCCTCCGGATGAGCTCCAAGTTTTTGACACTATTGATCATCAGAAGGATACCCCGGAAGACGTCACTTTCCCTGCAGTCAATACAATATGTCAACCATTCAGTCCCCACTTGTAGCTCCCCCGTCTTTGAAACCTCCTATCGTGGGGGAAAGAGAGATTCTCCAGACCCCTCCAGCCTTAGAACCTATCACCGATAATACAGGTGGAAATACTTCTATTGTTTCACTACTGTCTCATCAGGTCCAGAAAGATGTTAGTATTCCTCAGGCTCATGGGAATCATGATGTGCAATGACCTACAACTGTCCGACCAACTTTGGAATCTACTGATCAAATGAGTTCTTCTTTCTTTCAAAGCTTTCGATGGCTTCGGACATATCGTATGCAGTTACCCTTGCGGGTGTCCACGCCTCAAACACACCTAAATAGTCATCTTTCCCTTATTCGTTTGAGTGGGCGGAGGACATCAAAAAATCTGTTAGGAAGAATAGGAAGTCTGTCATATTTTTTACAGAAGCTGAAAATATTCAACTTGCTTCCTCCTGTCGTCTGAATTTGGTTGGTAAATTTCTATATGTTCATCCCAAAATGGAGCTCATTTGCAAAGAATTTGAACTTATGCACCTTGTTGGAGAGTGAAAAATTGGATTATCAGATGGAAGACATATTCTTATGAAATTAGTAATGAAGATAATTACACGCGCTTATGTGCTAGAAAGATAATATGGATTGATAACAGAGCAATGAAGATTCTGAAATGGTCTGCGAATTTTGACCCATAGACGGAACCACCAATCATTTCGGTTTGGATTCTCCTCCTTGGTTTGAAATTTTATTATTTTTCTTAAAAAGTATTGTATTCTATTGCCTTAACTTATGGAAAGCCACTCAAGAAGGACATTGCTACTTTTAATCTTTCCCGTCCATTTGAAGCAAGAATACTTGTTGAAAGAGACATCACTACACCCGCTTCTGATGAAATCTGGTTGGGCACACAATATCAAGGATATTGGCAGAAAGTAGAGATTGAGCATTTTCTGCCGTATTGTTCGAACTGCGGTATGTTCGGACACTCCAGTTCTCAATGTAATCATCTACACCCCCACCTCAGACCAAAAAAGCAAACTGCTCCGCTAGAGG